CTCTCTCTCTCTCTGTTTTCATGTCTGTGCATATATATATATATACATATATATGTATATACACCTGTATATATATCTATACGTGTATACCTGTATCTCGCCACATATATATATATACATACACACATGCAAGCTCACATTATTATGCATTCCTACATGTGCATGTATATGTGTATGCATGTATGTGTGTGTGTGTGTAGCCATGCATGGGTATGCATATATGCATGCACATGTGTCGTGCACACGTGTGTGTGTGTGTGTGTCTGTGCCATTTGGCACAAACTCGAAGCCCTAAAGTTGCCTACAGCCGCCTGAAGCCTCAGCCTCAAACCTGGCATACATACCGTACACACATGCATAAACTAACCTATCGGCTTAAACCCTTACGCCCTAAGCCCCGAAGAGCCGTAAACCCCAAAACCCGAAACCCTCAAACCCTAAACCCTATATTTATAATTAAAATTTAATATCAGATAGGTCCCTGATCGCCCAGGATTCCAGACAGCTGGTCGGAGGTCATGGCCAGCTTCCTCCAGGAAGTCCGCCAAGCAGCCGCTTGCCATCTCGGTGGGTTTGTGAGTTGGGGTTACAGGGTCTCGAGGGTGACTTATTTCGTGGGGGAAAGGGTGTTTGCCGTTCCCGGTCTTTGCACAAAGGCTCTTAAGGTTTGTTGGCCATGGGGTTTAGGGCCTTTAGGGCTTGGGCTGCTTAGGGCTTGATCGATTGAGAATATATATGTACAATACTAATCAGTCCAGCGAGGTTCGTACAAAAACCTTGATCGGGGAAGTCGTGTGTAAGGGAAACCGATCTGATATCACTGTATTTATATATATATATATACATACATACATATATATATATATATACATACATACATATATATATAATATATATAATATATATATATTATATATATATATATATTTACAAAATGTACAGTCTAGATCTAGGCTATATAGCTAGATATATATGGATATTTAATATTATATATATAATATAATATACTTAATATAGCTTATACTATTCTAGTAGATATTCTAGAGGATGTATCGTACCGCTGCATATGTGGTTCTTGCTCCTCTAGCAAAAATATAGCCTGGGACTAGGTCTTCTAGAGCTGCTGGATACTATTTTGGGAATAGGCTGGTTTTGGGGGTCCACGATAGCCAGGCTGGGGCCTAATGCAATGGGACTCTGGGCTTGGGTGTCCTGGGTTATAGAGAGATTAGACAGCATTGGGGGTGTTCTGGGCCACGCCGGGGGTTCCTCCTGAGATCCTGGGGTCCGTTATGTAGAGAGATTAGACAGTGTTTGGGGCGTTTCTGAGGCCTGCGGAAGCGAGACACTACGTGGGGAACTGCGGGCCCTGCAGGAGATGACAAGGAGACCGTGCACTAATAGCTAATTTAGGGCACTTTTCGGGAAATGCTCGTGGTGTAGCCAAAAGGTAGGGCGCATAACGGGCGCATATTTGCGCATACGGGCGCATATTTGCGCATACGGGCGCATATTTGAAAAGTGTCCGAATCCTCGGGTCGAAACCAGAATATTCGAGCAGAAACCCGGAAAAGGCCATTAATTGGTTGCATAGGGGAGGCTGGCTAGGTCGTTGATCCCTGGGGCACGGCAAAAGATTGTGTCGATCTGCTGCAGATATGATCGATCCTGCTGATCCATACATGACTTGAGCTGCCACTGCATGTTGATATATCCTCGCCTGTTCCTCGCCTCCAGGCCATTCAAGTCTAGCTTGCTGGGCAGGTTGTGTAATGGCCTGTCGACAACTGTCGTGTCAGACTTTGGTGTCGGGACTTCCTTTGTTGGGTGCAATGGTGAATGGTCAAGCAGCTGAGCCACAAGACCTCCAAGCCCGGATTGCAGCTGCTAGGCTTGTTTATGTTGGTGTCTGCATGCTCTTTATGCTCTCGATCATAAATTAATGCTGGAACTGGCCCTTCAGGCTGCCAAGGCTCGCATTGCGTCTCTGCAAGCCACATTGCAGCGCCAGCCGAGTACGGAGAAGGAACCTGTGATTCCGGGTGGGCTGCCCAGTAATAAATACCTAGCTAAACCCTAAACCCTAAACCGTTATGCTATATACATGCTGTTGCTGGCACGCAGATCTATTCACTTGCACTCGTGCTTCGATTGTATTTCTAGGTGTTGCTACATCCCCACCTAAGGTGCCCCCATCCTTGCCGTGAAGCCGACGTCGGGTGGAGATGTGGCCGGGAAAAATGCAGTTGGCTTAGGGGCTACAACCCACGATGCACAGCATAACCCCTGGGAAAGCAGCTCTGAGAAGACCCTGCAGCTTGCCGGCCGGCCTGACCCCGACGAGCTCAGCCCAAGCGACAGAAAGATGATCCGACTTGCAAGCCCTTGCAGGCCAAAGGGCAAAGGATCCGGGACCCCCAAGACCAAAGCTGCATCGCCAGTTGCCACGCTGGCTCCTGCAGACGTGGCTGCTGGGGGATGTTTGGTGTCCAAGCCTACCGTGACCCCGAAGAAATCCCTCGGAACACACAAGCGAAAGCGAAGCCCATCGCCGTCCAATGCTGTATCCCGAATGCATGCATTAAGCCATCTAAGTTCCAAGCACATATGGCATGTGTGTGTGTGGATGTGATACTCGATTAGGCCACGAACTTAGGCTCCTACGGCATCCGAGATGCATGGCAGTGATTCCGATTCGGGGCACACCAAGAAGAGCAAGGCTCGTGCGCAGAGCCCCACATATTGGCGGTTCACTGGTCTGCATATAGTATGAAGCTTTCAAGCTAGGAACCGTACCAAACCCCAAACCCCAGACCCCGGTCTCCCAAACCCCAGACCCCAGTCTCCCAAACCCCAGACCACAGACCCCCAAACCCCACACCCCAGTCCCCCAAACCTCCAACCCCCAAACCCTAGGTATCTGTAATGCATTGCAACTCCTACTGCGGTTCCTCGATGATCTGTTAATTGTACGAGTGTCTACCCCTTTCTAAACCCTAAACCCTTAACCCTTAAACCCTAAACGATCCTATCAAGCCCATGCTTGTACAAGATCTAATTAACGAACCATCTGCCCTCGAAGAGTTTTCGGTATTTGCAGCACAGTGTGTTGGTGCAGGACATCAAACCCGTCGGTAGTTGTAGGATGCTATTCTATATTAAACCCTGCTACAAGTAAAGGGAGTTCCATCGATATTCGACGATCTATATTTTATAACATGCTCTAGACTTAATCATTAGCTCCACATAGCATTTGCATATGCATATATACACAGGTACGTACAATAGTGTCTGTATTTACATAACATCATATGGGGGAACAGAGACTTCGCCAACTATTGCAACGCAGCCAATACTGCACGAACATGTAGCATTAGGCAAGATTAGAAAGACGGTTGTGCACTGTTGTTGATGTTAGTTGTTGTCGTGGGTCATCATATATAGATAGCACAACGGTCAACTTGTACGCATGATATAGAGGATCATGTGTTCTGTCTGGAATTTCTGTGCCCGGGATTAGATCTAATCGATTAAATGCACCATCTCAACTTAGGTTGCGGCGGTATTTCAAACCCAAGCGATGCGGGTCCCTGAAGTGCTCAAAAGAGGCACTTGAACTGTACAAGAATGATGCTGGCCGTGCCGTGGTTGCTTCGAAGCTACGCATTTAACTAACATGCCGGGATAAAATTAGAGCCTGACTCAAGGTCAAAAACTTCGGGACTTGCTGAAGACACATGGTGACTTTGCTACGATGGAGCTGATGGCGAAAAAATACCATCGCAACTTCTTCCAGCAGAAGAAGAGTGGAGGATGGTATACGAAGCATCACCTAATGCAAGTTTGCCACTGGACGAAGCCTCCTATCTCATTCTAAATTGGCAGGATCAGAGTCGAAACAAATGCCACTTAGCATTATGTTGCTTCGGGAGCTGAGGGCTATGTGCGATGCTGCCTGGCAATGGGCCCGAGAGCACAACAACCTCAGGATTAACGAAATCCACCGCGAAGAAGAAGCCCGTCTGATCCTCAACGAGGAATTCCAGATGGTTGACGAGAGTGGCCAGGAGATCTCGATGGAAGGCAGTCTGGACATCGAGGAGTCCTGATCGATTGATCAACTAGATCGATCTTAAAGCTTAGTTTGTTGAACCTATGCATGCTATGGTGTGCAGGATGACTCGGGATTCTTGTTGGAGGGTGACATCCCCATTGTGACGACCTCTAATACAGATTTGATGCGGGCCTTGGCGGCCCCTTCCTCTTCCGGGGAGAATGCTGGGGTGACCCTTGCAAGTGCTTCGTTCAAGAGCCATGGTTAAATACGCCCCATCAAGAAGAACCCCAAGGCTAAAACCCTAATCCCATCGTCAAAAAAGTAGTATATATATATATGTATAGAATTGTAACAGTGCCCAATAGCTTTCAATTATAAATTAAACCCTTAAGGTATACCAACCCAACATTAGGTGCTTCAGTATAAGTATGGTCCCCAACACCCCTCCCCCTGAATCCTCCTAAGCCCTACAGTTCCGTATGAATACATAGAAAACCATATCCCAGCAATTTCAGGATCATCTTCCCTACTTTGACTGAGAATGCCAGTGCTGTGTCGATCCTGCCACAGTTCATCGAAGTTCTTGGTCGCAAGATTGATTCGGCAGAGGACTTAGTGGCTCCCTGTATGCACGTATACAATTGAGCCCCCCGAGTGTGATGGTTACAGATAGCCCGTGGGCAAGCTAGGTCGATAGTTCGAAATCAGTATAACTTATCTAAGGTGTGGGGTTTAGGGTCGATGAGGTTATGATATTTATATTTTTGTGTTAACTACCTGGATCTGGTTCTCGGTGTGAATCTGAAGCCGTGATAAGGACAAACTTCCGAGCGACAACTCCCGTGCCAAGTCGCTGCTCGGCTGCATGCCTCTCCTTAGATCTCGTTGGTTTTGACCGTTCCAATCTAGGCTCAAAGATCAGATCGCCGTGATTCTGAAGACTATGCAGCAGAGCTACAAGGATTTGGTCACGAAGCAAGCCGAATCGATTACGGGAACCTGTGACAAGCCACTGACTTCGCACGAGATCTTCTTGTGCAATGTCGTACAGTGCACATATGGAACGCATACATGTCGGACCTGCCTGGGTGCTCAGGCCATTCAATGATGCGCTTTTGAAGCTCTTTGCGACTATCACGAAGCAGGATGTTATGATGAACAATTATGTTGTCAGATCGAAGCCCCTTCTCTGCATGTACTCGGGTACATTGAAGTATTTATATTCGTGGTCTATGCAACCCAGCCAATCTTGCAATCTTGCGGCATCTGGATGAGGTCGTACGCGAAAAAGGGCGCCGCCTCGACCAAAGCAACCCCGAAGAGGGCTGCAGCGGCCAAGCCAGCCAAGGAGAAGAAGGAGAAGAAGGACAAGAAACCCAAAAAGGAAAAGAAAGCCACGGGACCCAAGACCAAGAAGGGTGCTGACGGGGCTGAGTGAGTACTAGCTGAAACCCAGTAGCTAGCAGTGTGGCCTTGCAACGACATGCATGCTAGATGACGAGCAACACGAGCTGGTATGTATTGCCTATCCTAGTAGGTACACTGCTTCATATTAGTGTTCACTGGGGAGCATGTGGCAATCGTTGCTGAGCTTCTTGGCATGCAACATCGAAGAATCGATGTCTGCTCGGGGAAATAGTGACTTCGTGCATTCTGCGGATGGGGAAAACTCGAGATCAGACTGTATGTCGTTACGAAGCCGTTGTCTGCAATTGGCCGGCCTATTACCCATTATTCTTTGTGCACACAGAACCCAGCGCAGGTATGTTGGATGCTGCTGCTTCTGAGCAAGTCTTCCCAGGCTAGTCATGGGGCTCTCAGTCTGCCAAGCAATGTGAAGCCCCGGGTGTGTTGATACTATGTAACCTTGCCTGCAGGTCCGGATGACGATGACTTCGATGATGACCTTGCCGAAGAGCTTTTCTTCGGTTTTGCTTCTGGGGTCACCTGGACTACACAGCTTATGGAGAGGGTCACGATGACATTTTTGCCAGTGTTTATATGTAGGGCTTCGGTTCTAGTAGTTCTGGGTTTGTGGCTGGTTTAAGCAAGAGACTGCTCTTATAGCATTTGAGTGAAAGTCAAGGCGAGCTGAGTAATGAGAGAATCTCTTATTCGAACAGACGATCGACATAGCTAGTAACAGCTACTGTACATAAATCACTCTCTCCATATATATATATATACATATATATATATACATAGTATATCTTTGCTTTATAATATGTACATATGTGTTCATATACATATATATATATACACATACATCCATACATGTATGTGTATATATATATATATGTATACAGATCATAAGTTATAATACTTTGTGTTTAGATTTTTATTATTATATATATATAACTACCAATTTAATTATTGTTTTACTATTATATATATATAGTATTAGTTATTTATTTATTTAATCTATGTATTTATATTCTTGTTGTTGTACTTTTAGTATTATTCAGATCTACCTATCTATCTATCTATCTATCTATCTATCTATCTATCTAATCTATCTATATCTATCTATCTATCTATCTATCTATCTATCTATCTAATCTATCTATATCTATATCTATCTATCTATCTACCTAAGGCTGACTCGGCAAGGCGAGTTGTTCGGCTGGCTGGTGTTGCAGACAGAAAGCTTCGCAAACACGGATCCGTGATTGCACGTGTTTACTTAGGGTTTAGGGTTTCGGGTTTAGGGTTTACTCATTTAGCCCATGGCGAATACACTTGGTAACCCACGACAAACCCTAACACCTCATCATACTATACAAACACCAACCCTAAAACTTAAAACCCTAACAAAAGCTTTCGTAAATTCCTAGCTATGTGGCAGGCTTCTCATATCGGGGCTGAGGTGTGGTGGACATAAAGCTCCGAGGCCTTGCAAAGTGCGGGACTGGCTCACGAAATGACAGTCGTGCCCTACATGGCCTCATTCATCGCACTGGGCGCACATTGAATGTTGCTGTTCACTGTGTAAGGACTCCTATCAAGATTCTGAAAGGAAAGCCTCGTGTCGAGGTCTGCAACTACCCTGTCCTTTTCCTATCGTCATGGGCGAAGCAGATTTTGTGTTCGGGCGGACAAATGCTTTTGGGAGGCTTTCACCTCCAAGACTCGGCTGGGTACAGGGCTATGTTCTCTTCCTTTTGGCAGAGGTTCAGGTCCGTGCGGGCAGACCTAGATTTATACCATCGTCAGGATTGGGATTTTTACATGTGTATCCCAATCGCTTATCATGGAGATGAGGGACGAGGAAAGTTGAAACGACCCATATTGATCCTTGCCTTCCAACCACTGATCAGCTTCAAGGGAATGGAATACATAAATTCCTCCGGGAACCCTGACTGCACCCTAACATAGTCTATTATTCTGTATCCTGATTATGTAACTCGAAACAACCCATGAAGATACTACTTTGCTAGCTGCTAGCCCGCTGGGATCCAGGCACAGCTTCACCACGAGGATGCTCTTCACCGTGGTACCATCTGAGTATTATGCTGAATCGACTGTCGATTGTTTGCATAAAGCTCTCGTTGCTGACTGGCTGGGTCTTTACGAGGACGGCATCAATGTGGATCACTTGGCATTCATCTTTGAATACACTTCTTGGTTGGATTGGGTTGGGGGCCCTTTGCAAGTAAAGTAGCTTAGGGATTTTGTTGTGAGGAAGCCAAACTTGTGAGATTCAGGTGGCTTGTGGTGATCGAAACTACCGGTTTCGGTTTGTACCTGTGGCCATCAAGGGTGACTGGCCGTTTCTCAGATCCGCGATGCACTTGGCGACAGGCTTCACAAGTCGCCGAATTTGCCATATTTGTACGGGAGATGAACCTCTAGCAAATTTGGAACCTTAAAACATATACTACCCCAAACCCTAAACTATTTCCGTTTTGTGTATATTACCTCAGCATGTTAAGACCCCATCCTGCGCGAAATAGGAATGGTACGATCTGGGAAGCTCTAGTGTCGTGAGAACGTGGACCATGGATTCTGTAGCGCCGACACCTTTCAAAGCAAAGCGGTCACCTCTACGAGACCTTCCTGGCTTCGATGCTCCTATCACCATACAAGCTGACCCAGCGCACTCGTACGCGATACAGGGGTGGGGAAACAGCTTTGTTGCAAGTGCGATCATCTTGCTATCTGAAGTGTTTCGAGTTTTCAGTGGTGGTAGCATTACAAAACGCCTCAACCACGCCTTCGACAACTTCAAATCATGGTGCCGTGAATCCCAGAAGGGCACCTCCCTCACAGAATTTTCCCTCAAAGCCTTCAAGATCAAAGCGCCACTCTATTCAATTCGATCAGATCGGGTTATGTCCAGTGCACTATTTAGCGACTTTGAGATTAGGGTTTTAAAATTTAGGGTTTTAAAGTTTAGGGTTTTATCCAGAAACCAGCAGATCCCGATGAGGTTGAACCAATATCCAACTGGTTGTGGAAAGGGCCACGACACTGCCGTTCTGGGCGCCTGGCTGTTGCACGAAGTGTCGTCCGTCGATGAAGCAGCCGCTGCTGCTTCTTGATCGGGCCCTACCCCCAAAGCCCTAAGCTCAACCCAAATTCCGACAGACCCCACGCCCTAAGCCTTAAACCTTAAATTAAACCCGAGATAATTTTCTAATTCCCAATATACAACCCTCCGATGAAGTTGCCACTGCTGCTTCTTCCGGTCTTTAACCGGGAAACCCTCGAGAAACCCCAGGTCCAAAGCCTGAAACCGCCTCTTGCAAGGATTGAAGTAAGTAACTTTTACAAACCCTCAGCCCTAAGCCCAAGCAATATTGAGACTAACCCCGTATATGCATATATCGTCGATCTAATCGAAGCTTACTTGTCTCTTCCAGAAGCCAGCCCTCAATGAACCAGGAGTTACCCATGTTGTACTCTACAAATGGCTCAGCTAAGGTTTAGGGTATATATATATATATTATATTCTCCGGGTTCAGGATAAAGCGGCAAGGGTAGATCTTGTAAGGAGAATATACGATACCAATCTAGAATATTATATAGTCTACGGGGTCCGATAATATGCAGGGATCTAGAATATGTCTGCGGGGTCAAATGAGGACTTCAAACATCCAGATGTATTTCGCCTTCTTCGTTGGACTGTGGAGGCTGTCAATCTGCATTGGAGGACTCTTTATTCTCACGGCATGTGGATGGACCGGATAGAGGTCCAGAAGGCAGTCGAATCGGGCTGGAAAATGATGGAGACTTAGAATTTATTTGATTTAGTTGTATAGCTTCTTAAAGGTGGGGATCGTATCTAAAGCAGTATGTACCTATAGATACATACATACATACATATATATATATATGTAGATAGATACATAGATCGATATATAGACCGATAGATCCTAGGATAGATGATAGAACAAAGATCGATAGTTAATATAGATCGATAGTACTCGGTTGTCGTCCTATTTATACAAAGGGCTTTGGATTGGGGTTGTTGTTGGCTCAAGTAGAGGACCAAACTAATGCTACGGAACCCAAGACTCAATCATCCAAGGAGGGGTATGGTCAGCTGGCCATTCACTGCGCAAACCTGGGCATGCCCCTGTTTAAACTTCGACCCAAGTGCCATATGCAGCTTCACCTGGTGTGATTATGCTGCACCCGGAAACTTTTCGGGCGAAGTTTGGGTATGCATGAAAATTTAAACCCTAAGCCTAAACCCTACCTAAACCCTAAACCCTAAACCCGGTGTGCTACCACACCCTGCACGGCACAACTACAGCAGCAATTGGATTTGGGCACGGCACACATCTTTAATACTTTGAGTCCTTTGGGTGCACTTCGTCAATGAATATTAGTCCAAGTGATCGATCTAATCAGCTAACCCAATGCATTTGAAATGATACACATCTTTGGGGCATCTCGATCCGAGGCTGGGCCTGCTGGACAGACGAAGACTACGTCGGTCGAGTTTCGCGTCTCTCGCGACGGGCTCATCCGGCATTGACCCCATCTAGGACAATCACAAGGGCCCTTATGATGTACAAACAGCAGCATGCCATCCACTTCAGCTGATCGTCGTGTGCCGAATGCTGAAAAAGATCAGCCACATCCCAGGTGCATGCGTGCACTTTCTGTATGTTTGAGCGCTTTTCGGGTTTTAGATCGTTGAGAGCAGGCCCTGTGTACACAAAAATTTGCGTACACAAATTTAGATGCCAAAGGAAGCTCTAGGTAGGGTTTAGGAGTTCGGCGTTAGGGATCTAGGCGTTTAGGGTGTAGGGTTTTTGCGTTCAGGGTTGAGGGCTTTTGGGCAGCCCTGCCCCTCACGAAAACCCAACCCCTCGACAAAAAGGACTGCAAGGTAACAGATTTGTTCGTGTAGGATCTGATTCCAACCGCCGCAAACAGTCCTGCTACCACCTTCAAAAGGAGTGGCCCGAAAAAAAACAAGGCATGCAG